GATCCTGGGCCACACCAAGCGCCTCCACGCCATCAGCCCGCGGATCCCAAGATCCTGGGCCAGACCAAGCTCCTCCACGCCATCGGCCCGCGGATCCGCAGATCCTGGGCCCGCCTGAGCAGGTCAAGCTGAACCTTTGATCCCGCACGGGCCTTACGGCTCTGCCCTCCCCAACGACCAGATGGCTTTGGACCAGCACGATGGTTTGGAGGTGCCGGCTTCGCCATCACAAACTGGCCAATGAGAACACTGACCTTCACGTTTCCACGAAGCGCGTCAGGAAGCACATGCTGTGGCACATGTGAGCTCGCGGGATCAAAAGCCATCAAGGACTGGCAGGTGTGTAAACTTGGTTTGGGCCGAGAGAACCTGCCTGGTAAGCAAGTCAGAATTTGCATGAACAATCATTCCCCACCTACATGCCATCAACACTGACCTGTCCTTGATCCACGGGTGGATGCGAGCCAAGTCTTGCGCCAGCAGTTGACCAGTATGCTCCCCGCACCTGATGTACTGCAGCCGCCGAATGGCTCCACACGCTTCCAGGTCTCGCTTCAGCAGCTGCCAAGCTTTCTTGCATGCAGCAGCATTGTCCTGGCCAATGCCAGCCAAATTGCCCAGGCCAACGCGATCGACCTGTCTTCGAAGAATCTCCTCAAACAGGAATGAGTGTGCAAAACGAACTCACATGCGTGGTTTACCCGATGCAAATTCACATGCCCTGTCCTTCAAATACACTGCGTCTTGCTTGTGGCTACCACAATCAGCCAAGCAAATATGCCAGCACTCGCCCCGAGCATTGGTAGCATCGACTGTCACCAATGCATCCCCTCGGTTCGTGGCACCATCAGAAGATAGAAACCAAGGACCATGTGCTGGGTCCTGCAGTCGCGCTGTGATCTTTTCCTCCAATTCTTCATGTAGCGAGCACAAGGCAGAGTCGAGCTTCTTTCGGCCTGCGCGCGCTCACTCCGATGCAATGCAACCAGTTCAAAAAACGCATTTGGGACATAGAAGGGTGAAGTCAGACAAAAAAATCCACAGTGCTTTCTGAGGTTGAAAAAACGCATTGAGGATATGGAAGGATGAACTTGGAGCAAGCAACCCAAATGCATTCTTTCAAGTTGAAAAACCGCATTTGGAACACCGAGGCATGATTGCAAAAGGTCCTGCCTGGGTGATTCACATCAGGAGCTATGTAACGCAAAAAGTTCTCCCAGTGTGACCCATTGCCGGCATTCATGGCGACACCTGAGCAAACAAAGGCTACAACCTGTCTGCGAGTGGCCTCCTCATTGGAGATTGGCACCCGCTCTTCTGGTCGTTCAACTCCACATGGCTTGTAATCTATTGGCACCCAATGGTTGAAAATGGCCCACTGCACAGCTGCAGGAATACCCAAAGCAGCCCAATTGAGGATCTGGTCTTTGGTCGCTGCTTCCTTGCAACCAGACGTTTTGTTTCCCTGCTTCTTGTAAGCAACCAGCCATTCCCTGTAGGGTAGGGGAATGTCCGACGTCTTCTTGAGCTTGTGCAATTCGATGTACGAGCTCTCTTTCAGCGAAATTCCTTTAAAGCACATGTGTTCCAATGGGCGGGTCAAGCCTCTCATGGAGTTCTGCCAAGGGCACTTCGAACAAACCCAAAATGGCTTGGAGTTGCCACTCTGCACATACAGGAACCATGCCTTCACAAGCTTGCTCTGTTGCTCGCTCACGCCCCGAGCAGGAAATTTCACGTGCCGCCACTCCTCCCCAACAGAGTGGCCTGCATGGCGCAGCAACAGAACCTGTTCCGGTGTTAGGGCCGACATGGCTGCTCGCTCAGACTTTACTTCTGGCACTCTACTACCCAAAACCAATTCCCAAATGCATTTGTTCAACGCAAATAATCGCATTGGGGTGTCCCTACAAAACAGAGTGCTGCAACGCAACTTCTGAGTGCCAGCACGCGCAGGTACGAGTGCCGCAACGCGAGTGCTGAACCAACTAAGGTTCCAGTTGCCTTTGGACAATGTGCTCTTGACGTGGAAACGGGAGTATGAAGTTTGGGAAGCTCGGAAGAGTCAACGGATTGCTCGCGGCAAGACTGATCTTCCTCCCAAAATGCAGGAAGCTTACAGTGCTTGGTTGGAATCGCCAACCCGGGTTCTGGTCTTAGACAAGAACAGGAAGGCAATGGTAACCAATGTTGCAGCCAAGAGCAAGACTCAGCTCCGGAAATCATGCCTGATGCTGGTGGTTCATCCTTCAGTGGATCCCAAGGACTTGTGGATCAAAGCGGGAGATGGCAAGCAGTGGTCACTTCGTTTGCTGGAAGGGCGTGCTATACCAGATGTTCAGGTACCTGCGGAAGTTGATTTCTTTTCAGGCCGGCAATTGATTCCAAATTGATTGTTTTGTTAGTGTATTTGAAACCTTTCTATCTGTAGTGTTTTGTTAGTGGAGCACATTTGTTTTCGACCGACCATTGTGTTCATATTCTATCTGCATTGATTTGAGCTCGTTTTAAAAAGAATTGAAGTGGAAGGTGATCTTCCCAACACTTTGGTGCCAATGACCATGGATGACGGAGAACCTGATGAAGAGGAAGCAATGGCAAACCATCAATGCGCTGATGCTGGTATCCATGGGGAAGCTGATGTCTTGGATTCAGGGGATCCGATGTCAGATGATGATGCTGTTCCCAACGCATCTGGTGGGTGGCTCTATTTGCAGAACTCAGAGTCAGAGCCTGAGGATGATATGCCTCAGGAAGTGCATGACAAAAACAAAATCACGCGTAGGAGAGTGTGTGAAGAACAGAGTGAATACCAAGATCTCCACAACTTGGGCCTCACTGAACGTCCTGCAGGATGTTCCATCGGTATCCATCCAGCATCCAAAGTCTGGAGAGCATGCGCAGCAGGATCACAGCACCATGGAAGGTGCTTTGGCCCGTCCTCCGGCCGCACAGCCCGCCAGGCACTTCTAAGAGTCATTGAGCTGATGTTGGTTGACCATATGCAGCAGTGCCCAACAGACCGGCTTGCCAAACGGCAACTTGAAAGGGTCCGTTCTGCTCGAGAGGCCGAGGGGCCGCACAAGGATTAGGAGGATCCCGCGTGTGATTTTGAACACACGAATTCAATCATGTGAAGTACAGACATGGCAAGAATCCATCGAATGCTTGGCTTGGGAGAGGAAAAAGAAAGGGTGCAGCTGTCATATGCAAGAATTGTCAGGTTCAGCTGTTGTATATTCTATCTGTATGCTTTGTGTTTTTCATATTCTATAATTTTTTTATTTTAAGATTATAGTCTGGAAGTAACAAACCATATTCTATCTCCAACCATAATGTTTTTTAATATTCTATCTGCTAGCTACCTACTATATATCGTGCTCACGATCGCTTCTCCCATGTCACTCCGATTGATCAAGGAGGACCCTTGATTTTCGACCCTTTTTCACGCCCTCGAGACACCGATTTCGCAGCTCGACGTCAAGTTCTCCCGCAGATTTGCTGCCAGGAGGCAGAACAAGAAGCAAGCACAGGCCATGCCATGGCTAACGCATCTTGAACCAAATGCCTGTCATCAAACAGGCTGCCTTTGAAATTATCTCCACCTCCATGCTTTTGAGAATAAGCTTACATAACTGATCACTGACTGATCACCTCTTGTGAAAGATTTTGTCATGGTCACACAGGGCCAGCAACATCGTCACAAGAAAAAGAAGAAGGTTGGCTTGCTAAACAGCCATCAGTACCGCTGTTGTACTTCTGGCGCACATCAGAGTTTGATTAGCATTGTCGCCATTGTTGATTTCACCCAGGGATATTCCCAAGTTTCCTTAACTTCAACAAGTCTGTCTCGAGTTTTCCTGTGCCACCAAGTACCAAGCCATCAATTCTAGACTATCCCTTACAATTAGGCTTGTGTTAGGAAATGGACGTATAAGCGTACTGTATAACGATATCTGACTATAAACTGTTTAAAAAAATAGCACTTCAGGGAGCTGCCATTTCTCTACACTGATCACCAGCTCGTCAGGCATGCACACCAGCAGCACACACTACCAAAAAAAGGATCATGCTGTCACGCAGCAAGACTTGAAAGAGAAAGCTGAGAGAGCCCGGGAAACGCAAGATTCCTTGCGTCTCCAGCACAAACTCCTTGTGTCGCACGGAACGGTTCCCTTCACGGGCCATCTTCAGCACCCAAAAAGAGCTGCGCTGTTCGCAACCCCCGAGTCTGAAACGGAGTGTCTGCTGGCAAAACTGTGTCGCGAAATTCTGAAACTGCTGCACTTCGGCAAGTCGCAAGTCCGTTTGACCGGGGTGCCAGAAGACTGACGCAAGACATGAGCTGGTTGATGAAAGTTGTGCATTGTTACAGGCAGAATTTCCAACCAATGAGTCTTTCTGTCACTCTGGTCACCTCGATCTCCGGTCTACTGAGTCTACTTCAATCTATTTCGCCTATCAGGCCTATCGGGCCTATCAGTTCGAAGGGTTCATTCCCGCAACCTCACGCGTGTCGTTTACGCGGAAGAAAGGAAAACTCAGCCCCAATCCCTCACAAATGAGCCAGAGCCCAAAGATCGCAATTGAAGGTGGTTCAAAAGGTACACACTCACTTACTTGCAACACAACCTTCCTCCACAAACGGGTGGGTTTGGCACTTCCATGCGATGTGTTCCTCGAAGTGTAACAGACCCGTTTGCACCCGCCAAAATGTGGCCCCGGGGCTTCGTTGGTTGCAATCGACCACGGCCGTCTCCCGAAAGCCGTCTTGCTCCAGAAAGAATGGCAAAAAGAAAAGAAATTACAGTCAGTAAAGGGTGCCCGCGGTTCGATGCACTCCTCTCTATCTGAACAGTCGGTTGGTTAGACCAGTCCAGTTGATCCTTCTCCTGCACCGGAATACACCTGATGGCAACATCAAGTCGTTTTCTGCAAGGAACCATAAATGCAACACCTGTCTTGGGGACGGCTCATCCTCTCATCTACTAGCATCAGAGAAGAAGTACTCTTCCAGATCATCCAGCCTGGCTAGGTACAGCGGACCCGCCCCACGGGACCGCTGCCGGTACTCGTGGTTCCACGGCGGGTGACGGTACCGGCTGCCTCAACCGCCTCCGTGAGCAGCCTCTCCATGTACTGGCGGAGGACATGGAAAAAGGCACCCCGATGGCGAGGACATGCCAAAGGGATCCCGATGCAGTTGACAGGAAAGCGTTACACATCGATGGAAAAACAGCGTCGACCAGCAAACCGGTGCTGGAAGAAATACGTGGCCTTTGGTGTCGAATGAAAATGCAACCCTCTTGTCTAGTTAAGTCTAGTTGGTCGGAGGGAAAACCGCGCCAAATGTTGACAAACTCTGGACTGCACGAATCCCGACTCCAGGGATCTAGGCCTAAAATTGCAAATCTTCTCTCCAGACCCCGTTCCAAGCGACTTGCCTTGCTTAAAATACCTTCCAGAAAACGAAGAGAGAGGAAACGGCGCCTCCTCCGCCTCCCCCTCCCCCATCCACTCCTCGAAGCGCACGCCGTTCCACCCCGGGCGCCAACAGCGGTGCCCCGGGCGAGCCCGGCGCCGAGGGCGCCGTGAACGGCGGCAGGCCCTGCCGTGCCTGGGCGGGATGTAGATGAAAGACTGACTTGCACACAGGTGCGAAGTGATTTTGGTCATTGCATTGCAGATGACTCTTTATTCATTCATTCGAACTTCCTTTCATTGAGCCACCGGTCGATACCGGTTACCGGTCCCGGGCCCTCGGGCCCTCCACCAGCTTTGCACCTGGGAAAGTCCAGGGACATGCCATCGGTCGGCCCAGTGTTTCTTCGGGTTTCAAGGACCGGGACCAGTGTTTTCAACGAAGGTCTTGGATCTTCCAGAGAATCATGTTGACAAGATGGTTGACCCCGAGTCCTGGAGATGTAACCACAACCCTTCTCATCAACCGTGCTGGCCCTGATCAGCCCCGTGGGCCTTAGCTTTATTGGCGATTTCCCCAACAGTGCTTCCAGTCAATGAAGAGCAGATGGAGAAATTCTGGGGCGGGAAATCTTGCGCCAGCACCAATCATGATCATCTTCCCAGTGGGTCTTGGACAGTTCATCTTCCTATCCAGTCCTGAGTCCACATCCAGCCACCCCACATCCACCCCCACCGCCACCTGGGCTGCACTCGACCCATCCACCCACCGCCACCGGGCCGCCCGACTTTGATGGCGGCCAAATCCCGAAGGAGTTGCATCGCCTTGGAGTGGGCCGCGCCCGAGCCCGAAGGGGTTTGGGGTTCTCTTTTCCAACGCATCGCCGAGGCGAAGGAGTCGGTGTTGGTCTTGTTTCTTTCCGCCGGTGTTCGCGGTGGTGCTGGGGCGTTCAGTTTCGGAGGGCGCCCCCGGCCCCCCTTCCAACGATCTTGTTTCGAGGTCCCACGGAACTTGAGGTCGTGACTCTTAGATACTCTTAGTAGGGAGGTTCGTTCATGTGCTCCCATCTCAGGAGGGAAACACCTCAGCAACTGTTGATCTAGATGTTCATGTCCCAGGGGGGTGTTTGGATGGCAAGCCGTTTTTGAGCAGCCGCACTACGGCTATGAAGCTTCCCGCTCGGCTTCCCTGAAGCCGGAAGAGTTCTGGGGCCTCCAGCATCCATCATATTTTCATAGACGAGCTTGCGGCGCAGCAGTTCCTGTTTCCACCACCTGCGGTGCGAGGGTCACAGCTTCAAAGCAACCAACCAGCTTCTGAACAAAACAGTCAGCCAACCAGAATGACGAACCAGCTCCACCAGCTCCAGACTGCACTTCGGAAGGAACCCCCAATCATGCGGAAGCATTTGATTTGCTTTGCTGTTTCTTTGCTGCCAGGGCTCACAAGCCCTGGCAGCCCCTCTTGGAGATAGCATCTGTGTCACACACGGCCGTCCCGACCCCCTAAGCCTTTGGAGCTTGAAGCAAGCCGCCTCAGGTCTTAAAGCAAGCCGCTTAAGGTGGAGGCTTTGCAGCTTTCCCGTGTCGTTTCACTGGGGAGTTTCACCAGTTTCGAACCAAAGTAGTGAAACAAAGAGTTTAAACAAATTGTTTTAGTCATGGAGTCCTGCACCTCTAACAATTGGGTGCCACCCAGAGTTCTCCAAAAAAGGGTCACCGCAACCTCTCTGCAGGACATCTGGTCATCTGGTCAGCCACGACATGCACCCTTCCACCGGCGAAGGGTTGGGGCACCCACATGTATTCGTCTCCTCTGCGCCAGCTGTGCCGCGAAATAGGCCTCCGAATGCCTGAGCCCGTTCTGCGGAACCCACGCGGAACGAACGCGGAACCCACGCGGGGTGGGTGCGAAGGTGCCGGAAGTCAGATGCAGGAAGTAAGGCTGGCTGGATCAGTTTGCTTGAAACAACACGGATCCACGGATTGCTAGATATGGTGGGCTCACTCTAAACACATGTTTGTCTCATCAAGAAAGCCAGGGACGCTCGGCTTTGGAGGGTTCTACAAAACAAAAACAAGGGAGATCAGCCCTTGTTCTGAACACAATTTCGAAGAGCACCTAGATGAGCTGCGATATGGACTGAGAGTAGTCTTGCTGCAAAAAAATTAAAAAAAATTGCACACCTCGAACTACTTACTGTTTGAGTCTCTGGGTGCATATAAAGACGATGATGTTCTTATCCAATGGGTTTTGAGGCCAAACAAGGTCACCGTGTTCTGATTGTTTGCCCACTTCAAGCATCAGCTTTGGAGGACTGGGAGACACAGCGGAAACGGACGCTACCTTTGTCATGCTTGAGTCGCTTGCTTGAGGCAAGAAAATGAGGTACCCTCCACTTCCCAGAGAAACGTTTGCCCTCTCACCGACCTACGCATGGTATTTCGTGGGCCGGGTGGGCCGGTCGTCCGGTCGTCCGATGGCTCGGTTTCACCAGGTCACCGAAAGTCCCTGCCCTCCCCGCTCCCGACCGCGGGACGGGTTCGGCGCGGTGGCTAACAGGGCGAGGCACTGCTCCCGCTCACGCTCCCAAGCAGCAGCTGCATCGCAGCGGATGCCCAGGTGATGCTTGGGTCGGGTGGACTGCGGGCGGTGCGACAGGACGGTCACACCCGGTGTGGAGCGGAGCTCGGTCAGGCCATTTCGACTCGACGGGACGGAAACCGACGGATTTCCACTCGAAGGCAGGAACCTGCAGTGTTTTCTGGACCTCAGATCGATCTGGACCAGTGTACATCTGCCCTTGCAAAAGTGCATTTGAACAGCACTTCTGCTCCTAGCTTGGAGGCCATCGCTAGTTAGGTTGGAGGCCACTACCAGTAGCTTCTGCATGTCGTCCAGCACCTCCATGGCCAGGCCGTCTGCCCTCGGACCGAGCCGGCTCACAGCGAAGTTTGCATCGGAATTCGAGAGTTTGCAGACGACGGATGTGGAGAGGCCTAAGGTGCCGCACGAAGAAAGCCCATCAAGAGTCTATGGACGACGTGCTGAAGCAATCAAACACTGTCATTGCACGTCCGGATCGTTGCAGTCCTTCTTGTACCGTGGGTGTATCACGGGATACAGATACGCTCGTTCCCGTATCTCAGGCCGCGGCAATGGAGAGGCACCTGCTCGATGGATTCCAAAGCTTGGTGGTGACAAAACTCTGTTTACATGCACATATACATCTTTGAAGAGCAAATGACGTAGAATGATGATGTAAAATGTAAACAAAATTGCACAGGTCACAAAAGAAACAAAGTGATACCTTTCTCCCAGACAACAGCGAGTTGACGGGATGGAGCACTGCTGGTCTGCTGGAATATCCCAGAAGAAGTCTACGACACCCAATCCGACTGACTTGAATGCATGTCACAACAAAAAGTCTACGTTCCCTGGCAAAAACCAATGACATTCCAATTGACACGAGCTATCAAAGCCTCGCAGGTGCGTGCCAACTCGCACCAAAACCAAAAAGAACAAAAGCCCCGCGTTCACGCAGGATGGATCCCGCATTTGCCACCGCCGGCACCAGATTTCCCGACGCACCGATCTCGGCCCCTAGCCAAGCCCACCGGCCTCGCGCACCACTCAGGAGGGTGGGTTGGAGAAGCGATCGCTTGCCGCCCCTCTTTGGCATCTTGAAATCTTGAAAAATCAATGCCTCGAACGACCCGGACAGGCAGCTGGGCATGTCGCTTGGCATCTCTCAGATGTGGCAGCTTTGCAAGGGAGGAGGAAGGGAGTGCTGCTGATGAAAAAGGCGGACGAAGACTGAAATGAAAATTAGCACGCAAAGCAAGCTCTCTATCAAAATAAATAGATAACATCTGAAATGCACGGAAGAATCTTGACCTCTGCCGTCATGCCTACACCTCTTGTCACATTGGTCATAGTCTCCAAGAAACAACCAAACGACTTGACAGCAACAGTTTCCAACTGCAGTCTGGCTAATTTCAGGAATACGGCCACAAGCACCAAACTTGACCTCCGACCCTCATCTCCCTCGGGCCCTTTTCTATCCCAAAGAGATGCATGGCGACCGCGCGCCGCGGTCAGGGGGGCACGCGCCGCTTCGCGGGGCGGCCGCCGAGAAATGGGAGGCGATCCATCTCCTCCCCACCGCGGGACGCCCAATCCGCGGAGGGAAGCGCCCCCTCCGCGCGTCCCAACGGCACATCCCCTCCTCATCGCTTGGAGGCAGCCTGCGGGCGCAGGTGCCAGGGGTGCCAGGGGTGGCTTAAAAAGGTGTCCCTTTGCAACCGGGGGGGGCTTTTGAGGTTTGGATGCGGTTCTGCATGGCAAAGCCAAAAACCACCATGCATCTCATCGTTCCATAATGACCTTCTGTGAAGGTTTGAAGAAAAATATGAATTAATGAATAACAATGAAAACCAACGCGGTTTCACCCCGACTTCTGCATTCACTTCACTCACTCCCCACCGCCCCTACCTTCGTTTTCCCGCCTTGGCGGCGATCCGGCGCTCGTTGGCATCCAGGATGGCCTGCGCCACCGCCACGCGGTCAGCGATGTGGGGAGCAGTGGAGCGGAGCATGTGTCATGGATGGCTGATGTGAGGTCAGCCTGGAGATGATAGAAGTGGGCTCCAGGAAATTGGCCTGCGTAGTCATACGCACGATCATCTTAGATTCGAGAACTGTGCACTACCAGCACTGGTCAACAATGATAGCACTGATTCCAGAAAGAAATTGACCATCAGCTCTGAGCCATCCTCCACCGAGTTGGCCGGTCAACAATACCGCGGTTTTCCACCCCTCACCGCTCCGAGTGCTGAACCCAGGCGCTTTCCGAGCTCAGCCGCGCCTTGCGCATGGCAATCCGCTTGGGGGTGACCTCCAGCTTCTCATCGTCCAAGATGTAGCTTAGGGCCTCAGACCACAATGCCGACAGCGGTGCCGACAGCGGTGCCGACAGCCATGCTGACTGAGATTGGAAAGAAGGCCTCACACCACCCTCTGCCCTCTGCACATCCAAAGCCGAAGGTCAAAGAGCCGAAACATCAGTATTGGGCTTGCTCAATTGCTAAATGCTTGGCTTTCTCATCCTCAGATGTTTAGCAATAATGTCCTCCAGCCTGCCGCTCTTCAACACCTCCAGCCCTACAGCTACTACAGCCCCTACACCACTCTCCAGCCACCTTTCCCCACGACTCCAGCCACCTCGCACCTCCTCCAGCCGCTTCTCAGCCGTCTGAAAGTTGGCGGCCGTCTGGTATCCGTCGTGCTTCCTCCCAACGCCACTCGTGCCGCGCTCGTGGATCATCCCACCCGACGCCACCCGCGGGGGGCACCCGAATGGGCTCGAAACGGACCCAAGGCCGGTCTGTAGAAGACCAGTTGCTGCTCAAAATGGCCTTCAGATGCCTTTTATATAATGGAAAGAAACCAGCTTTAGAAGGAGTCTGACGGATGACGGTGTATTTCCTTTGAATCTGGCCATTGAAGCAACAGCTCCAAAGAAAGATGAAAAGCCAGAAAGCCATCCACTGAAGTGAAGTGGTGCCTCCGGGCAGTTATACTGTTATACTATATTATATATCTGAACCACCGAGCTTGATGGTGTTGGACTGCTAGCTGCTCCAGCTGAAGAACATGAAAGAGCTGAGGACGTCCAATTAAGAAAACAACTCATTCACTGTGGTGCACCTTCTCACCTCCAACCTTCCATGAATGGAGGTCAAGGAGTTGCCTTATAAAGGGACCCCAAAGGAATCTCATCTTCGCCTCTGGCCCCCGCTACCACGCGCGCACTGGCAGGGGTCTGGCCAGCTCTGGCCCCAACGGTTGCGCCTGGCGATGTTGGTGTCAATGTCATTCATGCCATTGTTCTCGCCGAAGATCATTCCTGCCCGGCCAAAAGGAGTGTGGAGCACCGGAGGAAGCAACACTGCTAAGAGACGCAGGTTAGTCCTCCCCGCAACAAGGAATCTGTGGCCAGGAAGTGGCTTGCAAAAGTGGTTGAAGTTGCTACTCTTGGAGGAGACATTCTTGAATCGGGGCAAGGCATAGGTGAGGCAGAATGCTTCATTCAAGGCCTTCTCTCTCGCAGGTACCTTTCGCAGGCGTTCCCATCCAATGCAACCACCCGCTTCCACCACAACCTCGCCTCAGCCGCTGACAAAAGAATCTGCCCCCCCCGGCACAGCAAGCTTTCCACGCAACGCAAAACGGGAAACGGCTGCCCCGGGGCCTGGGTACACTTCGATGCCTTCCGCAATGAAGAGCTTTCCCAGGCGAGCAGCCTGAGAGAGACTGCGAGACTGCCATGGAGGAACCCTGCTCGAACCTCATGGATCGTCAGCTTTGAGACCAGGTGGACCAATCTTGAGATGTCGAGGTCTCCATCGTACCTCCGCTGCGTGCGTCGACGCCACAGAGCCTTCCCCAGGTCCACGCTGGTAGCTGTCCCAGCAGTGTTGGCCACCAACACCCCGCTCCTCTCATGAGTGCAGTCATCGCAGTGGTGCAGCAAAGACAAGACACAAAACAAATAGCCATGAAACAACAGATGTCACCCATGCCATGTCTGAGCAATTGGAGTGCGTTCAATCAAACACAAACCAACCATGGTCAACATGATGCTGACTCACTCAGCCGCTTCCAGCATCTCTTGTGCAAAACAGGTGGCACACGCCCCGTCCGCCCACCGTCTTCTCATTCTCCGCTGCCCCCGGATGCGGACGTCTTCTCGAACACCGTTGACGTCCGAGAACCGTCCCGGTGAACCCACCGCTCCTATCTTTCGGCGGCTTGGGGCCCTGCGGCCTCATGTCCTGTGTCGGGTGAACCCGGTGAAGCGGCGCGCTTCAAGCGGGCACGGACAGGCCGGGGGAGGACGAAACTGGCAAGGTCCGCGCTTTTCGCATGCAAATGCCATGGACTACAGTACACATGTTGAAAAAGCTCGAGCCTGCCAAAACCCCCTTTCCAACTTTCACCTCAACCGATTTCCTCCATGATGATCTTTGACACCATGGTCCGGATCATTCCGGATCCAAACTAACTCCACGGTTCAGGAGAGCGTCCTGAACCGTGATGTTGGATTCATGCAATCGTACACTCCCAATGACACACGAAGTCTGCCCATTGGAGGCTTTCCGAAGTCTGCCCACCTTGAAGTCTGACACGACTGTAGCAGTCCCACCAGTAATCTCCTTCAACCAACCTGAGAGAGGCGGCTCTGTTCATGACGCCATTTTCCGCACAGGTGTTCTAGATCACCTTGCAAACTAGGCATTTCGGCTAGTCTGGCGGAGTATGTCAACAACCCTCATACAGTACCGTATCCAGGCTCAAGTTCAATCACATGAATGAGAACAAAAGAAAACAAGGGCGGGATGTACCTAAATAAGCACCAAAACTTGAGAAGAAAACAAAAGAGCAACACACATGTTGAGCCTGATGCATCTGGGGATACCGTATCTCCAATCCAATTTACACTGTGTCCCACCCAAAAGTAAGCTGCCGTGGCAGCTTTCGCCAGGCCACTTCGGAGGCCCAGCATCGAAGAGGTGGAGGCCTCGAAGAGGTGGAGGGCAGCGACTCTAGAGACCAACATGGAAGACGAACAGGTCGTTTGGGGTGGTTCAGCTCGACACCCATTCACCTTTAAGGAGCTATGACCTGGAACCTGTCGGGGGCCAGTGTTCTCCATGTTTCATGGCTGGCACGTGGACCTGTGGAGCATTGCTCTGAGCACATCGCCGCAGGTCTGCCCCAAGCAGTGAGCGGATGGAACCACACTGGGGGCGGATGGAACATGCGTTGAGATAGGTCCTCTTGTGGTGGAAAATCAGTAGACTAGGAGGTGTGAACCACTTTGGTTTGTCTCCAGAGTTGCAACCCACAATGTCAACATGTCAACTGCATCTTTTCTGAGGAACTCCTTTGATCTGCCCCTCACACTGAGCCTGACAAGCTGAAGGAAATGGGAAACCTTGCGAAAGCATGTCCAACCCAAACGTCCCCAAACCAATCTCAGTCTCAGCCTCCGCCTCCTGGCTGTCGCATGTCCCACTTGCTCAACAAAAGTCCAAAACACACCCTGGTTGACCCCTGATCCGGATGTCAACCCACCATGGTTTTGGTTGGGGAAGGTGCCATGACTCACAGTTTTGATGTGCTTTCCCGGCCTCCAGTTTGATCGTCTGGCGATCGCCCACGGTGTTCATGTCCTGGACCTTCGCTCCGCGCACGGACATGCCTCGGCACGACCAGCTGCGTGGCGTGGTGAGGTGTGTCGCAGCAGTTTTACTCGAAAGAATTGGACAGCAGTCCACAAATTGGCGCCAACTGGGGTCAAGTATTTGGTCATTGTAACCGTAGTGCGATGGGGAAGTCGCGCATTCTTGGCTCCGTGGTACCCAAACGTCCCCAGCAAGCTTCTCCTGCACGATCTTGAAGACCCTCACTCTGGGCCCCGAAAGGGCTTGCAACTCTGAAGCACCGAACAACTTGGGTAGGTAGACGTGACAGGGTGCAGTTGGTGGCATAGTTGGTGGAATGGAGCTATTCCACCAACAGCAATGCGAGAACTGTGCGGTAGACAGCACACTCACTCGCCCCAGGGGGCCCTTTAGCGCTGGCACCAAAGCCTTACTCGCCCAAAACCAACACACCGAAACGCCCAAACTCACAACTGGAGTCATTCCATCTGGCAGGCTCTACCAATGGTTCCCAGCTGAAAGCCCGGGATGGTGGCGTGGAAAAAGGGACAGTCCATCCTGCAGAAAAAGAATCCAAGGAAGATCATGTTTGAATAGTTTCGAAGGAACATCTTTTCACAATCCGCCCAGGCACGCTCCATCACTTGACTGCCGTGACTCAAGTCCACCTGATGAATTGACTGAGCGATGATCGAATCCAAAAAAACGTGCGCAGGGTCATGCGTAAGATCCCTCTCTACTCATTGATTCGAATAGGGCCTGTGGTTCGTCACAGTGCTGGAAACTCCAAGTTTGGGTCCCGCACACAGAGGGGACGATGTCCAACATGGATTATATACTTCACATCAACCCTCGGAAAACTACTTCTATCTGAGCATACAAGAAGACATGAACTGTACGTGGAAGGGCCAAGGCATCTCGCAGGTCAATGTGTTGCAAGGGTGTGCAAGCCAAAGATCAAGTGGGCTCATTCTAGGCATGAGTATCAAGCATATAAGTAAATGTTTATCAAAGAGCATCAAGACTGTCCTGTCTGGTGATGCTGACTTTCTGTTGTTCTCGCCTCGATCTGCACATCCTCCCAGGGCTCCAGGATGGTGCCATCCTCGCCTGAGGCGTGTCTTCCAGGCTGCCAGGTAACACAGCGCAGGGAGTGTAGCTCGAGTCTGTGGTCCACTGAACCAAAAGGGATTCCTGGAACTCCAACTCAACCAACTCTTAACCACCCATCCTCCCACCCACCATCCACCTACCATCCACCTCTAAGAGTCGAAACATCGCGGTGTCGCGGAGACTGGGGCAGCTCCAGCCTCTTGGATCGGCGGTAGACGACCGACGTGTCTTTGAGGCTGCCTTGATGAAATTCAGCCAACCAGTCCGATGAGATTGGTGCTCCTGGACCTTGAAAGGGGTGTCCAATGGAGATCCCTGGGTAGTGTAGGGGTCTCCATTGGCGACCCCTTTGAAGGTGCTGGCTATTGGACCTTGTCGGGCGAACCTTCAGCTTCCTCCCCGGCCCCAGCACGACCAGCACCCACGACGAGCCTTGGCTCTTCACCACCGTGGGCGGGGAGAGGGACATCTCGTAGCCCTCACGTCGCATCTCCTCGATGAGGATCCCCAGTTGCATCTCCCCGCGCCCTGAGAAGGGAAGCGTGGTGGGGTGAAGGGAAGGAAGCGTGGCCAAAGCGCCAAAAGGACGCTTTGGCCGCCGTGTTTCATGTCAAGTGCAACACCGCGTTTTCTGTGGCAGGACATGTCACAGACAGACTCCGATTCCACATGGTCCACATTTATACATCCCTCAGGTGGCGTGGAAACCCCCGACACCTCGGATCTCGAAGTAGTCTCGGTTGGGCGAGGGCTGCACCTCCTGGGCTGAGGGACGAACGTCGTGTCGCCTCTTCCCGTACAAACGCAGGAGACGGGCGATTCAAGAACGGACCAGAGAGGGCTGAAAGAGAAACAGTTTGGAGCGTTGATGTTGCTGAATTAATATGTTTGAATGGATACAGCTGTTCTTGGAAAATGACTAGTGCAAAAGTAAATAACAGTGAACTTGGGTTGTTGTGATATGACTTAAACTATGTCTCAAATTGACTCAAAATAAGTATCCAGAACAGCCACCAAACCCCTCACCAGCAAGCACCACCCACTCCCCCACGCAGACCCACTCACCAACACCCTCACCCTCACCCGCTCCCACACACTTGCTCCCTCACCGAGCGTCGATGGCCGGGTTCGTTAAGGCCTCCTTGTCCAACCGTTCGCCCAACGCGTTCAGCGTGATGTACTTCCCATCCTGGTTCGTTTGCATCGGTACGCCCAGCCCTACGCCGTCTCAACATCTCTTCAACAAAACCGACTGCTGAGCATGCGGGGTGAGGAGTCATGGCTTAGATCCCCCCGAAGCATCCAATCCGTGAACTCTCCGGACGCCCAGCCGTCGTCCTTCTAATCCCCAGCTGCCCAGCTGAATCCGCAGGCTCAACACCTCCACACCCCATGGAGGTGACCCGTCGTG